AATTTGTGTCAATAATGTTATGGGCACAATCAGTTGAAACCAAATGCGCTTCTTACCACAGTTAGCTAACATGAACATTAAAAGATGTTCAACGATATGTAACCTTATTTTATAATTATTGAAGGGGTGCCTTTTTTTCGCTTGAGCACCTGTTCCCCAAAATTTCTATGCAAAAAAAAAAAAGAAGCTTTACCCACCCAAATCTAAATCTAAATCATTGTTTATGAGACAGAAAAACTGGGAGGGTAAGAGGGTAAATGGAAAGCATTCTGTCACTAGCCCAAAAAGAACGTCTGGCACAGACCAGCGAATGCTGTGCAGTCCATAAAAGGAAGTGCTGAAGCTGGACAAATTCTGATTAAATGCACTTATCAGTTCAGTTCATGATAGCTGTCAGTGCAAAATACCCAAAGACCTGGACAGGCAATACATTTTCCTTCCACCAGAGGGCTTTATAAGCACGTCAGCGTGGAGGATGTACAGTTCATTATTATAATTTTTTAATAATCAATTTTTTGGTGAGTACTTGTTAGCATGTTCACAGTCTAAGAATCATCTTTCTGTAAAACATCTAGTTAATATTTGGAAGGGGCTGAGTGACTGTAATAATTTTAGAACAACCTTTGTGTTCGGACGGAGCTTATGATGTCTTAAAATCAACTAGGTTTTGGAACAGAGCATCTACTATATCTATGTGTCTCTCTTTCTTTGTTAGAGAGGATCTTACTTTCATAAGCTGTGCATTTGCACTCATGATAAACCGCCTTAAGGCCATATGAGGGTTATGGGTGTGTGTTATCCAAGGATTGTTTGCATGAGGAGGCACACCCTGTCATGAGTCACCTCTCATGCATGACCCAGCAGTAGTTTGTTTGGTCACAGCTGCACAGGATGCTGACCTATGCATCCTGAACTCTGGCCTTGCCCCTTCCCAACTGGCTAGCATCTTACAAATACACACACACACACACACAAATCTCTTACCTTGTTTTGCAGTCACCTTATCAACATGTTTAGTTATGAGTGTGTCTATGCGGTATGTATTAATTTAATTAAAACTGAGAAATGTCTGAATGTCACTGCATTAGTATCAAAGTAATGGAATTTATTTTAAAGAAAGATTTCACAAGTACATTTTCCTCCTTTAAAAACATTACAGAAGTTTGTCAGGTTTTAAACAATAAAACAGTAACAACTGTTCAGATTATTAATTCAAGCCTTTAACCACCATTAATTATTTTTTAATTGATATTGACCAAAACAATAATATATAAATCTTTTGAAAAAGACCAACAATGAACTCTTAGGTGATAGTGTATGTGTTTGTAGAAGCCATAAATCAGTATGATTGGAACTTCAATTACCGATTAAGAACTACACTAACCATCATCCTGAGAGAGATACTCCCTGCATTCCATTCGGAAGGGCTCATCCCTATGCCCTAATCCCTTCAAAGGGTTTACCCTCCGGAGTGAGAGCTTTGAAGGGTTGAAGGGTGTAGGGGACCAAACAACTGTTTCTTGAAGTGCCCTTCTGCGTCGTCATCGCGTGCCCACACGGAGGCGCCGTCATCATGCAAAGAATCTGCGCAAATGATCACGTGAGTGCCCGAAGTGTCCATCAGTTGTACCCTTAGAAATCCTTCATTCTGAAGGGCCCTTTGAAGTGGCCAGTTCTGAGCACTTCGGTTTGGAACGACCCTTCAATATGCCGGCCATGATTGTTTTCACTCCGAAGTGCCTTTCAGAGGGCGATATATCCCGTTTGGAACGCACCGACTGTCACAGTGTCTAGTTGGTGTGCCCATGTATAGCCACCAGAGGGCAAGCTTCATAGTTTTGTTTCTTTCTCTGGACTTCAGTTCCCATCACCCTTTGCTTTGACTATCAAGTCTCATTACATTCAGCTGTGTCTCATTTACCTTGTTAACTCATCCACATATAAGCCCGGTTTTCTTTGTCTTTGGTTGCTGGTTTATTGTTTACTGTTATGTGTTTTCTGTTGCTTTTGTTTTGCCCTTATCTGGATTACTCTGTTTGTTTTTTGGACTCTTCAATAAATGCTGCATTAGAGGGCGATATATCCCGTTTGGAACGCACCGACTGTCACAGTGTCTAGTTGGTGTGCCCATGTATAGCCACCAGAGGGCAAGCTTCATAGTTTTGTTTCTTTCTCTGGACTTCAGTTCCCATCACCCTTTGCTTTGACTATCAAGTCTCATTACATTCAGCTGTATCTCATTTACCTTGTTAACTCATCCACATATAAGCCTGGTTTTCTTTGTCTTTGGTTGTTGGTTTATTGTTTACTGTTACGTGTTTTCTGTTGCTCTGTTTTTGCCCTGATGTGGATTATGCTGTTTGTTTTTGGACTCTTCAATAAATGCTGCATTTGTATCTTCTTTTTTTGGCGCATTCTGTGACAGAATAAACCAGCCATCAACAGTTCCAGCAGCTAGGCTGGGCTTATTGGATTGTGGACCATGGGCATTCGTATTCTTGCTCCTGCTTCGAAGAAGGAGCGGAAGGCTCAGCTCCGGATGTTAGTGAATCTTCGCCAACAGGGGATGGAAGTAGGAGGTTTTGCTCAGACCTTCTGGACTTTGGAGGTAGAACTGGAACTTTGTGAGTCCAAGCTCAGCAAGACTTTTAATGATTGCTTTGACAACCCCTTGCCTCCTAGGGAGATGGAAGGGCTTAAGACTCTCGACTTTTGGAGTTTCATTGATTATCTGTTACCGCAATTTAGTAATGTCATGTTGGTCTGGGTGGCGCTAGGGGTGGGCTAAGGGGGCTGAAGCCCCGAATTTTTTCAGTCAAGCCCCGAATGTTTTTACTATGCCCTTTTACGAATCATCACTGAGTGTTCGTGCGCATTAAAGTAATTTCTATTAGTACCGCAGATTTGGTTTCTGCACATCCAACAGTGTCTGCTTGCATTGTCATTCACTCCCGACAAGACCCGCCCACTGAGGCTCATACTTCTGATTGAAAGGTAAACTGGCAAACCAGCAATAAAAAGTTACAGCAGCTGTTTCAGATGTCTGTATAACGTATCGCTGTAATACCGATTATTTTATTTTTGAATTTAGGTTATTTGTTACTGAACACTGTCACTGTGAAGCAACAAATATAGGTATTTAATCATAATTACATGCTGTCTTGTCTTCCTAGGACGTGCATTTAGAACGATCATATGAACGGTTTGGTTGGCATGGTCTGTGGCAGACTTTTCTTCGTGTCAGGGCAACAATTCAATGAACAAAAAATAAATAGTTATTTAAATTGTAGAGACAATATTGTCTTTTTTGCTCCATTTCACTAAAGAAAGTGGTTCAAAACAAAGCCATGTTGAGCATCTCTGCAGCAGCACACAGCGGTGTTTCCTTACTGAATGTATTTGCGTTTTTGAACAAATCGGGAGATTCACTGATCCATTCATAAACTGTGTCCCAAAGTTGAGTGTGCACACTTCGAATGCCACAGACTTCGAAGACCAGGCCTCCAAAGTGCATGAAGGACGATCCGCCTTCGCAGGATTTCCTAATTGCGACACCAGAGGTTCCCGATTAGCGCTCTGTCGCATAGCAACGGTGCAAGAGGAGAGCTGACGAGAGGACAATCCTGCCAGGATAGGTGGAGCCAGAATTGCTCATTTTTGTTTTTGTTTTGGAGGAGAAGGTGATGTACCTCAGGCTTAGCCAAGACCGAGGCCAGGTAAGTTACACTGGTTTGCTGCGTCCATTGTCGGATTACAACTTTAAATTTAAATGCAGGAATTGGCTTGGAGCTTACTTGAATAATGTAATGATACATATGAAAAACTACAAAATACACACACACACACACACAGCAGTTCAAATGCTGACTGATATCTTACAAAGCTGCGATTTTATATAGTTTGTCTTGACCATGGTGATCATATATAGACCGGTTTGAAACCCGGATTTTTTAGGCAGTTAAGCATAAAAATAAAACTGAATAAAAAAATAGAGAAAGCATTGTACAGCTCAATGTTCAGCGGCAGCTCCGAGTCCTTCAGATGCAGCCTTTGATATACAGTAGTTAGCAAAAAAAAAATTATATTCTGACAAAATGTTGATACTTTCATTTTCAAAATAATCAGAGGTGGACTGTAAGGGAGTACATTCATTAAGTATACTTGTACAAATATGAAGTACTAAGTTTTCTTTTTTTTTTCTCACAGGACAGCCAGCCTACAAAAATATGGTATTTTACAACATGATGCATTGTTGTAGATTAAACTACCCAACAGTATGTAGCGAATCAGCTCATGGGGAAACATGAGGTATTTTGAACAGTGCAACTTGAAATTGTACTAAAAAGTTGTGCAGACCCTTCAGCAATTGGGGCATTTTAAAGTAAATTACTGTTAAATTTAAATTAAATAAAACATGTAGTCTTACATATAGGGATGCACCGAAATGAAAATTCTGGGCCAAAATGGAAACCGAAAATGCCTTGTAATGATTATCTATTATTTTATTAAATAATATAAAGTAATTTTGTAAGACTTTTTAAATTTAACTTAATTTTAATGATACTGAATTTAAAAAAAAAAACACAAGTCAATAAAATAACCACATTTTTATTGAAAGTAACAACCATGTCAAGTTTGTCTTGAGTTTTGTTCAGTTGCTGGATCAGAGTCTCAATTCTGGCAACTTTGCCTAAGAGCCCAGCATTTGCTGCTTTAATAGTAATTTTGTGTGGGAAAGTTTC